TGGAAGCCCTGATGATATGGCCGCTAAAGTTCAAACTCTTGTTGATGCCATAACTGATGCTGAGAAGAAAGAGAAAGCTCAGAAGCTCAGTGCAGGTTGCGCCAAAATTTATCGCTCAGTTAATCGCAAGCGTAGAGATCATCCCCATACTCTGAAGGATGCTTTTGAGAAGTATCTTACCTGGACAACCGAAGAGCAAAAGAAAGAACTGACTGCACTCGAAGAGAGCGGTAACAAGGACGGCATAGAGAAGAAAATCATGGAGTTCTTCGAAGCTACCGAAGGAGAAGTGAAGCAGAAGGCTGTTGGAGAGTTGAAGGAAGCTTGTAAACACTATGCCACCGATGTGTTCGGAGAAGCAGGAATCGCTGAAATCAAGGCTGTCAGGGAATCTGGTGGAAGCCATGATGATATCGCCGCTAAGGTCCAAACTCTTGTTGATGCCATAACTGATGCTGAGAAGAAAACAAAAGCCCAAAAGCTCTCTGTCACATGCGGAAAACTCTATCGCGAACACAGTCGTAAACGCAGAGATCATCATCATTCTCTCGAAGATTTTGTTGAGAAGTATCTAGGCTGGACCACAGAAGAACAAAAAAATGAGTTGAGAGACTTGAAAACGAAATCTGAAGACAAAGAAGCCATATATAAAAAGGTTATGGAATTTTTCGATGCTGCTGAAGGTGACACCAAACAGAAAGCTGCTGAAGGATTGAAAGGTGCCTGTAAGCACTACGCTACCGACCTGTTTGGAGAAGAAGGAGTTGAACAAATCAAAGCCGTAAAAGAGTCTGGAGCAGATAAAGGAGCTATGCTCGCTAAGATCCAAGAACTTATTAATGGACTAAGTGACGAGACCAAGAAAGCTAAAGCTCAGAAGTTGACTGCTGGTTGCCAAAAGGTGTATGAAGCCATTCCAAGTCGCATGCGTCGCAGCCACGATCATGACATGGAGAAAGAAATGGAAAAATATCTTAGCTGGTTAACTGTTGAGCAGAAAGCTGAATTGGGAAAGATAGATAAATCTGATAAGAAAGCTCTCCGTGAGAAAATCTGGGAGTTCTTGGACTCCGTGGATGGAAAAACAAAAGCCAAGGCTGTTACTGATTTGAAAGCTGCTTGTAAGCATTACTCCGTGGACATATTTGGCGAAGAGAAGACAGCTGAATTGAAGAACATGAAGGAGAGCGGAGTGTCTATTGAGGATCTGATGAAGAAACTCACTGGATTCATCGAAGAGTTAAGTGATGATGCTACCAAAGAGAAAGCTAAGGACCTTGTCGAAGGCTGTAAGAAAGTTTACGAGCAAACTCGCATGCGTCGTGACAGTTACTATTAGAATCACAGTTTATTTGTTCATCTTTTTTTTGCTGGTTTGTATACATAAATTATTACATATTTATTTTTTGATAAAAGAAGACTATTAGAGAAGCAGTTGAGATTGAGAAAAGACAAAAGGTTCATTAAGAATTTGTTTCTTAATCAACATGTGTTGGGTGCGTCTTGGAGGAAAGCATGTCGTGTATGAAGACAGTTGATAGAGATGATGGATGTCAGTACCTCGAACGTCAGGATTACTTCATTCAGAAAAGTGCTGTTCCGTGAGTCGTTTTGAAGATTGCTCTCACGTCATATCTGTCTGGAATGATTGAATTGAGAGGAACAGAATGCATTTCAGCTTCGAAACTGATGATAGCTTGAGAGATGAGTTGGTTTCAGCATAACGTCTTCGTCATGTCTTCCATCTCTTTTCCCTTGATGATGTCTCGTGGCTGTTGTGATAATATCAGATACAACGAAGGCACGTCCAATCGATCGAACAGTCTTCCCTACATCTACATCGGAAATGTTTATGTTCCTATAAAACAGTTGAACATCATAAATCAACTTCTTCTTCACTTATTTTTTTATGAAACCAACCTCATCTTTCCCATGCATTTCAGTTTTTAACCGTAATGTTTGTGCTGTTGTTTTCCACACATTAAAACACGAGTGTGCCCTTGCTTAGTTCCTCAGCGTTTTTTCTTTCCGTTTGCTTGTTCTCTCTTCACCAACCTATTTCGTCTCTCTATGCAAAGCAATAAGATTCAACTGTAATTTCTTTTTCCTTTATCATCATCTAACTAATGAGATGATTTACAAAAAATATCCCAGAATAGTGGTCGAATATCAGCTGATATCGGTCGAAATATTGTTTAACGGAATTGATAAGAGGACATTTGGACTACTGCAGTGTGAAGAGCCGCTGCTTTGGTCTCTTGGATTGTGGACACGGCAACCAAGCACTTCCAAGCAGCCATGAATTGTCTTTTTAAGATCATAAGCGTTTTCATTGTCCTAAGCTTAGCTTACTGCTATCCTCACGTAAGATTTGCATAGAAGTTGTTCTAATTTGACGTCGAATCATTTTGAGTAATTACCATTTCAGGAAGATGTGTCAGATGAACAATCCACACAATCGATTGATGAACGGCTGTCGGCAACACGAAGAGTTTTAATCAGTAGACTAGATGATTGTACGTCTTGGATGAGCGACATCGATGAAGAGAAAAGAGATGCTCTCCAGAACTTTCTAATCAAAGGAAATTTTAACCAGTTCAGGTGTGTCCGTTTATATGTTGGATAGGAAGCAAGCCAAATCAGTTAGTAATCGCCCTTTCTAATCAGATATCTGATTACATCACTCAGTTATTTTAAACTCTCCATCGAACTATCGTGTCATTCACCAGTTGATACTCAAATATTCATATGTCCCTGTCAATCTAGAGATGGATCTAACTGACCCCTTTGTCAATTTCCCCCCATCATTCCTTTCTTTCTGCAATCAAAATTATTACTTCCCGAAGTTTTCTTCCCTGAAAACTTACGTGAAAAAATAAAAAAACAAACTAACATAAGAAAGCTGATTGTTGATTTGGGGCAGATTTGAGTTGAGCGTCTAAAAAACACAGCCGCACGTATAAGCGTTACATCAAAAATAAAAATTTGCAAACAGTTGGATGCTGGGGGCATTATTGATTTTTTCAAATCAGCTGTGAAACAATTTGCTCATAATTACATTTAAGGGATTTGGCTATCAAAGTTGCACGAGAAATATCAAAATCCGATGATGAGGATTGTTTGAAGAGCGCTCAGTTTCTGATCAAGAAGTACAACAGGCTTTTGGATTCCAAGAAAAGGTTATTGCCCTTTGTAGAAAGGGACTTATCCAACATGTTGCAGATATTTGGGAAGTGAAGATGCTATTCACATCGAAGAGTTATTATCTCCGAGACAGCTCAACGAATTGCATGCGTTATATCAACAAACCGGAAGGAAGGAAGAAATCAAAACTGCTGTAAGTGTCCTTTACACAGATCCTGTTTCTTAATCAAATTGGCAAATGATTATTTCTGGTTGTTAGTCGTTTGGTTCGGAAAGTAAAGGATCATTCTCATTTGAGGCTGAGAGTACAATCCTACTCTTTTAGTTGCACCGCTTTTTCCATGGTATGTCGGAGAACAAAAAAAGCGAGTTAATCAGAGAATTCTTCGATTACAAAAAAGATTTGCGAAGACGCCCTCGACAAGTATCTTCTGACAGTAAGGAAGACTTTATCTTCTCTAATTGATATCTCATTCGAAGACATTGACACTGTATTTCAAAAAGTAACACCTGAACCGTTGAAAAGTGACTGGCTCAAATGGCAGAGTGATAGAAATGTATTTATTCTCTTTTAATCGTATTTTGACAGTGTGCTCTAGAGACTTGTGGTTTCACGCATGAAGCAAAATGGAGCTGATGCTTGGGAGGTAATGAACATTATTGGAGATCAATTCTATCACCTGAGAAAAAACTTGAGGAAAAGATATGAAACGTAAGTGTGCGGTTTGAATAATTAGACACCGTTCCGAACTCTTTACAGACAACTGACCGACTACTGTCAAAAGAACATTAGACAGCTTCTCGGAGAAGACAACATGAGCATTCTGAAAAGTCTATATATGGACAACGTTCCAGTGGATCAAATCGAGACTCGTTATCAGGAGATAGTTGGAGATCTACCCAATGAACTCGATCGTCAAGTAGCTGGTCAGTCCCTCTTTAAAACATCAGATATGTACGGATTTATTTTCAGATCGTTACGGAGCTTTTTGCCGGAAGATATTCCGCGTTGTTCAGTTCAAGCCCGCAGACTTGACAAGTTGGTTGAGCCCAACTCAAAAGATGAGGTTGGGAGAGATGATTCAAGATCAAAATTTCGGAGATATGCAGGTATACGATAAGGTTAGTTTCTTCGTAAAGTGTGTAGTTCTAATCTTCATCCTTCTAGGTTTACGAATTCTATCGTAGTGCCAAGGGAGAGCAGAAAGAGGATGCTCGGGAAACCATTGACACAGGATGTAGACATTTCATAGCTCATATGTTTGGTGATGATACTGCCGAGGTACAGTTTCCTTAAAATCTTAAATCTTAACTATGATTTCTCAGGAGTTTGAAGATTTACGGTTAGCTGGAAACTACAGCACTCAAAGATTAGCAGCACGTCTAGTAAAGCATGCGAAGGAAATCAGCAGCGAGCGACTCAGAACAAGGGCAGAACAATCATTACCAATCTGCGTCCGTATTTATCTGAATTATGATGGTTCTTGCCGTTGCTATGATCATTCTGATGTCTGTGATCCCGTCACATTTGCTTGTACGAACTGCACCGGCAACACCCACGGAATACAATGCCACAAGTAATTGAAATCTGCATAGGATTTTGAGTTATGATGGAACGATTTTGCAGATGCTCGGAAGGATTCACAGGAAATCCATTTATCGCTCAGTGTACCGCCATTGAGAACTCAGACGTTGAGGGAGAGAAAGATGTACCTCTTTGCAATTGTAACGGCCATTCAACAGAATGTGATGGCGGTGTTTGTTTGGTGAGTGAGATATCCGATTTTACTATTTTCGAAATGATATTTGCGTCTCTCTGATACTGCCTCAACCCTGAAAGTATATACAACCGGGTTGCGTAATGACACAGCAAAAATGATTTTGTCGCGCTCCACGCAGTTCACGTGAAACGTGGATAATGTATGATAGTCGATCACTGGATAACTTCAGAACTGTCTCCATAACACTGAGGGTGATAACTGTGAAAGATGTTCCTCAGGATTCTATGGTTCACCCCTCGACGGAACAACTGAGGATTGTACAGCTTGCCCATGCCCGTAAGTGTTAGCGGTGACGAGAGGCTTCATTCGATTAAATCGGCATTACAGGAATGAAGGAGAATGTTTTGTGAACGAAGTAGATTTAGTACAGTGTAAAACTTGTCCGACGGGCAAAAAAGGAATAACCTGTGAGCTAACTGACGGCAAAGACGATGAAACAAAGGAAGAACCTCCAGAGAAGGAGAAACAGAAGCGGTGGAGAAGATCAAAAAATTTATTTGTTATGGATTTCGTTTAGTTTTAAATATTCGTTCTAGTTGTTGTACCGCCACTGACGTTTAATAATTAATAAACCTTAGAAACTGTTCGTTTCCTTGTCATTTTGGTTTGAGATCCATGCCTGATGTTGATTCATCTGATTCAGATGGGATATATTGCTTTCTTAGATTGAATAAGGAGCATTTGAATATTGAGAAAATGAGTTCCTTACCTATATTTAGAAATGAAGAACGGCAATAAAGCTAATCCATAAAGCAGTAAAAGGAAGATTGCTGTAATCACCAATGTGTTTGTTATTGTCATTGCAACATGTAATGAACTTTACGTTTATATGTCCACGTGCATTCCACGTAAGTTTTCACGTCGTTTGTTTATGTTAATCTTAGAGATTGCGATTGAATGTGAAGTGCAGACTGGTCGGAACGGTTTCAAGTTTTTTTCAATTCGAACATAACAAAAAATTTATTTGAAAAAACGCATATCTTCTTTTAATTGAGGTGAGCATGCGTCTGATTCATCATAGTTGATTGCAACGCTCAGTCTGGGAATCGTACCGATCCCTTCATCTCGCTTTAGCTGCAAAGATTGGACATATGTGTCACCTTTTGGGAGACTTTTTATATTTTACGCGAAAAATGTGGTCCTAAAGACTCAAAACGACCCCTTAAGTTTCTCCTTAGATTACAATTGAGGAGAGAAAGCCAACTCTTCTCTGCAAACCTCAAACATATGCTACCACGCGGTTTGTTTGTTTCTGTTTAACGTTTAAATCGACTCGGCATGGACTATCACATGTTTTGAGCCGTAGGTCAGCTGACTGTGAGTCTAAATTGGAAAGAATCCAAGAAGATAAGGGTCTATCTTGTATTTGAAAACATCACGTGTTACATTTCATAGCATATACACTCAATCGGTTCAAGGCTGCTGAACAGTTGGATAAGTGTCGGGTGATGTCATATGGACAAGATTTACAAAGTATCTCAACTATACTTTCTCAGTTATTCTGGGCATTTTTCGATTTTAAAAACCTTTTCACCTCCACCCCCATGGGAAAAGGCGATTGTAATGAGCTGATTTCCAGTATCTCGTAATGCAGAATTACTCCAGTTGTTCAATGATCCTTCTGCTCTCCATTCCCATTAATCAAGTCAACTACCCCCGATCAGGTATCATCCCCTGTATCATATTGTAGGGTTTGCACGCAGAATGTCCTTTTTATTCTGAAGAACTTAGAGTAAAAGAAGCAATTTGAACCCCCTTTAATTGAAAATGACAGATTGACTCTCTCATCTCATGAATGTTTCAACTAGAATGATGAGACGTCGACATCCGAGAGTACGTCTTCGACTAGCGATACATCACCTTTTTCAGACTTTCACACATATTAAAGTAAGTTTCTGATTGAAAGAGAAATTGAAGATGATGCCTTAAAAGGTAAGAGGTGGTTCTAGTGACCTTGACTGTTTTCATGTTGCGACTTCGTCATCAGAAGGAATTTTCAGTAAGCACAAGTGCGCGAAGAAGAACGCGCCAAATTTCAACAAAGACGACCTTCCTCTTACTTCATTGGATAGTTGCCAAACTTAAGTTCCGATTTTCGAGAAAACAGGTTCAAACCGAAAATATGTTATTGGGCATATGAATATGCGGTGGACTGACAGCGTATTGTTATTTTCCTCACAGACAGACAACCTCATGCTAGTTGAAACAGCTGATTTGTGCGTCAAACGTTGTCTTCACAATCTGTTTAATTTCTTGGAAAAGGATAGAATGTCGTAATGGAAGCAAACAAATCTTCCGAAACCAACTGAATATAGCAAAAACTATACGTGTAAACAGTGTGCTGCCGTCCCTTCTCAGCTGATTTACAGTTTATAGACTTCCAAATATGTCACATATGTTATTCAGACGGTCTTTGTTTAGACCACTGACAAGGTTTTCATTTAAATAAATTGTTTAAGAGGGCATGATGATTCGAAGACTTTACAAATATACAGTAGTGATGGCTCTTTCCTCCAATCCGTATATGATGTCGTTTTTCGTCTCTTTTTTCAGTTGTGAATCAAGGATGAAAGGCACGTGGACCTTCTGTACACATACACACATAGTTACTATCATCATTTGGACGGACGAGAAGAAAAAAAGATGGCAGAACTCTCACTTATTAGAGCAAACACTCAAGAAAAATGAAGTGAAAGTATACTTACCTGCGAATGCAACCGATCTCGCGCCACTCAAAGTTCAAAATGAACGGTTCGTTAACAATATGCTAATTGAGGTCGGACTTGGGCTCATTTATCAGACGAAAGTAATTACACACTTCAGGTGAACATTTAGCAGCTTTAAATCATATCAATAATATAATAGGTTGATAATCTTTTATGGAGAAGAACAGTTGTGGCACGGTATTAGCCGTAAACCTTGCACGAGCTTCTTTTATTATTTTATTTTTAGATCCCAAACTTGTGGAAGTAACTTTCTTTTTTTGTTGGTGAAGTTTCTATTGGCACCTTGCCATTGCCGATTGACCTTCGTCAGACCTGCTACGAGAATGTAAAAAAAGCAGAGAAGAGCGACAGATGATGACGGAACGAATAAGTGAAAGTAAAAGAAATGCTTCATCTTTCCGACCAATTCAATGACCATCATTAGATATCATTTTTGATTTTCTCCCAAATTTTGAAACAAATTGAAGAGAGACTTGAATCATTGCAACAACGTCAAAGATTAGATCAACTTCCACATAGTGACATTCACATAGCAGGATTTGCACCCCAGGCAACATGTATATGTATGAAGTTGTGACTCATGCACGATATGATCTTATGTGAAGAAGCAACCCCACAACAGCAGGAAACAGAATGACAACCGCAGAAGTTTGATCAAGGTATTGAAGCTTGTATCTCTTCAACATCGTTTTATTTAGAAATATGAACTCTCATCCTGTGTTTACGATGCCCAAACATTCTCACAGGGGGCACAAAAGGAATCAAAGAATACATACGAACCCTTTCTCAAAAAAATAAAAACATGCTCAATAAGGAATTTCATTTTTTACAGAAATGGATAGAAAATGTAAATATGTTGGTTGTGTAGTCGCAATTAGAAGACAAAAAATATGAAAAATGTGAGATAAGAGAGAGATACGGAGAGAGAGAGAGAGTGTGTGAGAGAGAGTGAGAGAAGAGGAAACCTTTTTCAAATTTTCAGAGAGTTCAAATAATCAATTCAACAACGGTAGATCGTACTTTGCCTATGAAAGCTTATCGAAGGTTGTTGCGCAAGCTAAAAACGGTTTTCTTGCTCTTATCTTGAGTCAGATATGGTCGTCCCCCATGTCCCCTCTCTCTCTTCGTGTGTGCTTTTCCAATGCATGTTATATGAATGTTTTGAGAAAAATTATTGTGATATCTTGAGCATGATGAGGAATATTCAATTATCAGCCATACAGTTACTATCACCATTATAGTTTTTGGAGCAAAAGGAAAAGGAGGCGGAGCATATAAAGAAAAAGAAGAAGTGCAATACGCGAATTGTACTCTTTGATCTCTCTCTCTGTCTTCCTCTCTCTCTATCTCTCTCTCTCATTTAAATTATCTTTTTGCTCTTGCTGTACTCTGTTGTGAGTTTTTTGTGTGTTGCGTTTCTAAAGAACAACTTGTTTCATTTAATTTTCTCATAGCTCTCCGTCTGCGTTAACAAAGGAAGAAGAAAAAGAGGAAGAAGGAGATTACCATATGTAGAATGAAAGAATGATGAGAGATGTGTATGTGTATGTGTGTTGCAAACAGCCCTACGCAATCCTATCATCTGCGGAATCAAATAAGATTCGTGTGAAATGGTTTTTCTCAGTTTTTTTTATCCTTTTTTTGAGATTTCGTATTAGGAAGACGAGGAATGCAAAAAGAGTATTGAATTGGTGGGTGGTTTTAATTGAACGATAAGCAATAACTGCGACTTGGCTATAGAGAGATGATGTTAAAGAAGCAGATAATATTCAAAGATAAATAGAAAATTACATTGGCGATTGAAACGGTTGCGTCTCTTATCAGCTCTATCCCTTATAGGGGAACATGTTTCCGATTGTAGAGAGCAGCTGATTGCTTCTTTTTCAAAGCGCGCTCTCTTCTCTCCCTATCTATCTTATCCAACTATTATGTAATGATTTTAATTTTTATTTCTCTTTTTTTTTCTCTTTTCCATTTGAAGTTGTGTGAGTTATCAGACGGGATATGAGGAGGTTGACTGCTGAAAGTGAGGGTGGGCTGATTGCTAAATCCATATGAGATGTATAGGTTGTAAAAGGTTGTAAAACATGTTAGTCTAATGAAATTGAAAAATGACGAGACTGTCTCAGTTGGAGGTACCTGTCTATCCAGTTTTCAAATTATGAAAATTCTTATGATCAATATTATGTTTGTTACTTATTTGACCTCTCTGTCTCTCTTCCTCTCTCTCACTCACTCATTCACTCACACTTTTGTAGTTGTTTTCCCTTTGTAACAACACAGAGAGAGAGAGGGGGGGGGGAGCAAGTTACTTGGCTTCCTAGTCGCGATTGAAATGATAGAATTATCTAGTTTTTTCCAATTACGGCAACATAGAGAGTGAAAGAGAGATCATAGAAAAACAGAATATCTTCAATAGTATCTTCTTCCTTTTTTGTACATGAAAATCCTTTCCTTCTTCTTACTTTCATTCTTTTTATCTCTCACTTTTGTCCTTTTTTCTCTGTTCTTTTCATTTCTTCTTTTTCTATTTTCCATTCAAGTGCCAAGTAGCATGTTGACTTACTAGCCCAGACAACCGGTTCACTATGGAAAGAGAAAGAGAGAAGAAGTGAAAGAGAAAGGGAGAACGAGGAGAGAATTGCTGAAAGTGAAAGAGAGAGAGAGAAAGCGAGTGAGCGAATAGTGAGGGAAAACTGAAAGAGAAAAGTGAAATGAGGTAACAATCACTGTTCTTGACGTTTTCTGGTTTAAGCCGAAAGCAGTTCATACCTTATTTGGCAGCGCTAAGACCTTCAAATCTAGCATTCCTTGTACCATATGTGATTGTGAATGCTGTCCAAAAAAAAAATTCAGCTGTTTGCGAAGGGAACAGGTCAATCTATCACCTGACTATAATCTTTTGCTCAATTTCGATTTTTTTTTATTTTTTGTGTTGTGATGGTGGTCGTCAGAATAGAAAAAACCAGATATGGCATTTTTGAGTGAATCTTCATCGTGTCTGTACTTCGCTTCACTTTCTCCCTTCTCAGAAACGAATGGAGAGTTTCCTTATCGTTCATTATCTGTCATTATAGAGTATGTTATGATAATATCAAGTATGGAACACACATCCATCCTGTCTTTCTCCTCCCCCCTTCCCTTCAGTGACCACGACGAAACTGAAATCACACTTGCACTTTCCCTATTAGAAACACTGTTTTTTCCCTCTTCACTCACCCCCATGAGTGCGTTTTTGCGAGATGCACTCTGTGGGATTCCCTCGTCCCTTCTTCCTTTCTCCCTCTCAATCCATAGCCACCCTCTCGATTTCTCTTTCTCTCTTTCACTCATCTCCTCTCTGCACACTCTTTTACAGTCTTCGGCAATGTCAAATCATCTGTCGCATTAATCGCTACAAACTTTTTTTTTCAAAATATCGAGTGAAATGAATTGAAAAAACTTTTTTGTTCATTAGCTTCTCCTTGTCGTTCTGTGGTTTCGTTGATCGCTTCCTGTGATTGAGGACTCAAAGGTTGAAGCAAGGGCAAAGGCACAACTTGTCCGGAAAGCGACAGCTTGAGATGATCTCCAAGTTTGAACTTGTCAGCTCTAAGTTGTTCTTCCCATTTCATCATAGAGCCATGCAAGCTTTGATCGTTACAAGATTCTTTATCTGTTGTCGTCTTCTGATAACCAACAGTTCTTTCGTCTCTTGCTGTGTCCCTTCGCTTCCTAACTCAATAGTTTTCACAGTTTGCCATCCATCCTCTCCCCCATCTCCTCTTCCCCACCTTTCCTCTCGTTCGATTTAATGGATCTCGTGTTGATGATATATTTTCTTGTTTCTAAAAGTATATTTTTCTTCTTTTTTTCTCTTCTTCCTTTCTTTCCTTCTTTTCATGCACATAAAAGAGATGACAAACGCGATTAACTCCAACTGAGACTTTGGTAGTCTCGTTCTCTCAACCTTAGTCCTTTTCTTTTTCCGTTTTAAAAAAGTTTGGCACGCCCATAGTCCCCCCCCCCCCTCTTTCCCATACTTCCTGAAATCATTTATAGAAACCTAAATTACGAAAGAGAAGCAGAACACAAACTCTTTACTTACAAAATACCGTGTGTTCATTGAACTTACCAAATTCCTCTCTCCCCTCCCTTTCACTCCTTAACTTTCCAGTCGCATTTAACATTTCTTATCAAAACTGGTCAGCTGACTTGAAAAAAGGCATTCCCTTCCCAAACCATATAAGTAAATTGATTGCCATATTGACAGTTTACTATACCAGATTGCCCTCTTGACGACTTGTTACGCCATGACCACCCAAACCCTCGAAACGATGTTATGTGTCGTTAAGGTAAACGATCCTTTATCGGCGGGGGGCTAATGCATTCATAAATAGTTTCTTTTTCTCTTCTCCTTATTATTTTCCTTATTCTTCTTGTTCTTCTTTCTCATCGAAAGCAGTCCGTCAAGAAGAATGAAAGAGAAGATACAGGAAGAGATAGAGGGAGAGAGAGAGAGAGAAGGGGAAGAGAGGAGAAACGCAGTTGTGTTTTTTTCATAAAATTTCACTTTTCTTCCCCTATTACCACTTCGAATTATTTGTTCTTACGGTCTTCTGAACGGCTTCTGTTCCCATTTTTTTAAACCGGCCAATGAGTAGCCGTACTGTCGGGACCGGCTTTTAGGGTGATTAGGTACAGAAGCCTCGCATTGCCACTCAAAACGAAAGTTGATCTTTTCGTTTTTCAAAACCTTCAAACTTCCTTCACGTGTTCCGCCCAATTTCGAAATGATTGCTGTGTTCATTGCCAAAAAAGCCAGAAAGATAGTAAATGGCATTCTGGTCATGGACGATGTCATCGTGACTTTGATCTGTAAAAAGACAAGAGACAGCAGCTTCCATTACCATCACATTAGACGTAACTAGATCCAATAACATGTAACTTGTAATGTTACAATATGACTTTTCATGATTAATGTTACCATTTCCTTTCATTATCAACTTCTTGCTTTTCGAATCTGTAATTGCAATGCTAAACAGTGCTCTGCTTCAACTCTGCGCTCCACCGCTAATCAGTTTTGATCTATATTGATTTGAATATTGAAATGCTAATTACAGCGTCATTTTCAAATTTTCATTTTTAGTTTTTCAATTGTGGAAGCCGGTCGCGTCTGTGTGAGTTTTTAAGAGTTTCCGTTTTCAATCTTTTTCTCTGCTAATTGTTCGCATCCTCCCTAGTTTAGGTAAATTCTCTTAATTCCTTTCTTGCCTTGATACGTAAATGGGCATTTCTCCTTTTTGGCAACTTCTTTAGTTTCTAGTTTGGGCACGTTAAAGTAATTAATTAACTTCTCAACTTCTTCATTCCTATCAGCTTTTTGAATCTGTGTGAATTATTATTTTGGACTATTGTTTATGAGCTTACGGATGATAGCTAGCATATGCGAAAACGGCTGACATATTCTTTGGAGAATAGCTCCACTCAAGTATTCTTTTTCACCTCCTTTCTCCCTGTCGGATAACTGTCCACGGATTCGTATCATATGGTTTTTACGATTCTTTGTGTTATGTCCATATCTCAGTTGCGATGTGAGTCAGTTTACTCAACTTTTGGCTGTAAATGGCAAATGATATTACCATAGGAGTTTCTGGCAATTCTTTGACTGATTTTTTTCTCGTGACGCTGAACGTTGCGTCATTCAAAGCTATTTGCTTTTGCCGGTATCCGTGTGTCCGTGAAGTCCGGTTCTGTTCCGGTTGGTACCTTCAGCGGTCCGGTTGTGGACGTCTCCGTTGGGAGGAGCAGTTTTCTTATGTTATCAAATGCTACGAGTCTCAAATAGTTAATCATTTCACTTCACGTTCGTGTGTGTCTGTGGTGGTAGTCTCAGTTTTGAAATCATCTAGACTGACTTCCTATCTGATTTCAGTCCAGTAGCAACACCATGGCGTTAATGCCCTAATGCCACTTTCATGTAATTTTCTTCAATATGTTATCTGTTCTGCTTTTCTCCCGCGAGGGACTTGTTTCCATGATTTTTCACTTTCACTCGTTGAATAAAGTGTGTTCTTCAATAGAGCGGAGTTAGCGTAGTTTTCTGCCGTCTAGGTTGTTCCTGTGTGTTCGTCGCGCTCTCATCATCCGGCGCCATCCTGTTTGTTGTTACTTGTCATATTCACTTTAACATTACTCATCTTTCGTGTCCTGGATTATCTCCACGTAGTTTTGTAATTTCTTTCAATTTTCTTGGCGCATATCGTTTTGCTTCCGGAAACGTTCAGTAATACTTTGTTTATAATTATTACCGGTAGATTCATATTCAACTTCTTTTTCGTAATGCAACAGTCTGCTTTTCGTCTGTGCCAAGATCTCTTATCGATTCAATAGATCGCTTTTCTGTGTGGTGGTGCAACTGTGTGTACATTATGTAAGAACCGGTCTCACTTCCTACCCTTGACTACCACACGTGAAACCTGGTTTCTCTTCTTTTCTTCGTATCTCTTTCTATTTCGTTAATATTACATCTAAGTATGTATATAATATAATATATATGTGTTGTATATATATATATATATGTGTATGTATTTATATTCATATACAAAGGTGTTTGGGCTCTTATCACGTAATTGCAAGAACCTGATTGCCAAGTCTCACAGCCCGTCTAGACAGTACCTCGGGTGAGCAATCTTATTTTTCTTCCTCGTTTCAAGAATTTGAGATGCCTATTTTTATCCTTGGGGTTCAGAAATTGCGTCAACCTTCGAGTGCCATCGAAAAACGTAGACGTAAAAGAAACAGACGGTATCTTTGAAATGCCCGCCTCTTACTGTCTTCAGCAGTATAGCTTTCCCTTCTGTGGACTCCGCCTCCTCTGTATTTCTCTCTGCCTCCCCCGCGCTTTCTTTTTCACACATCTTCCTCCAGTCAGCTGTTGGCTCTGATAAATTTGGTGCATGTCCTCCAAAGATTTATCTGCTCATTCAAGCACGGAGGTGGCTCAATTTTTCATTCCAAGCTAATTCAAATAAGCATCTTCCTTTAAACTATCGAATTATAAGTTTAAAATGTTGCAAAGCAGAGCTTCAGTGCAGCTCATGCACTAAAATGCATATATTAATTTTGTAAGGCATATCGAATCGCTTTGATTTTGCACTCCAGTGATTTCGCACGGCTTTCTATGCAAAGCTATTAGAAATACATTTCTCTACGCGTCGTCGCCTCTGGCTGTTTTAAAGACTTCTTTGCCACGAGTCTTTCCTGAAGGCTTATGTTTTCCGCTTTGATTAAATGGTTTTGTCAAAGTCCTCACAGCCTCATTTTTTGTATTTTTCAATAGAATGCTTGCATTCCGCTGTTTTCTCGTCTAAGTCGTTCGACACTGTTCATTGAACTGAGTCGATGTTTAAGTAGGTGTAAACTGATTATATATTTTCTAACTAATCAGTTGTGTTTTACTTGTCTTCTTCTTGAAAGTTATTAGTTACCTACGTTTCCGAACTTTTTTCAAATTTGCGACATACTTAAATATCATACAGAATTTCTTTCTCTCTTTATTCGTAGCTCATCCATTTTCAAGAGAAAGTTGACGCATGTCGAAGAGTTTTTGTAACAGCTGACTTCGCTTTCTCAATTTTCATGATGTCTGAAGTACAAGGCTCGTTTTGTTTAAAAATATATTCTGATAGAGAAGAGTATTTTATTAAGTTTATTGGACACTTTCGCGATTTCCCCGTTCCTTTTCTTTTTCTATGTTTCATCTGTTTAATATCCCTTTTTTCAAACTTTTACTTATTTCACTTTTTAGTATTTACGCTTATTTTCTTTGCTTATATTCTTTCTTTTTGTGACATCAGAACTCGTTCCGGCTAATAGGCTAAGGCCGGAGAAAGCGCGCCAAAACTCGTAGTGACTGACGAGTTACGACACCACCGTCTCACTTTCTTCGGGAAAGCTGGTCCTGTCACAGAAAACACTTCTGAAAAAAAGTGTATTATCATAGAGATTCTCTTTTCATGATTTCGAGATCATAGTTTACAAAAAACTTCTAGTGTATAGCTTTTATATATTTCAAGTCATTTCTGATAGATGTCTTTGTTACGTGAAAAGATCTGTCTGGTGAAATGTCTGGAGACGACGACGAAATAGCTATTTGCCAACAATTCACTCCACGCTCCTCTGCTATCTCATGTGAGTATTTACCCCGCACAGCTGCTCGTCGGCAGTTCTTCGTTCTTGGAAAAAGAATACACAATGCATAACTTTTTTGTTAAATTGTTAGTCAATTTTTCACTAATTTATTAATTGCACTGAAACATTCCTTCAAGCAAGACGATTCGTTTTTCCGTTCCATAATTCCTCTTCCTGATCTTTATCGCCTTTCCGACCTTTAATCACTCCCACCTTTTATGTCTTTTAAATTTAATTTGCGCTTGTCCTTTGAAGCAACTTTCCAAATTCTTTTTTTGTTCATTTTTTTCTTGTCATAAAGAATAAGTTATTGTTTGTCTTAGCTGAAAGTCAGTAGACACAATCGTTTGTTTGTGCTAGAGTTCTCGTTGAGGGTTTTAAGATTTTCTCGATATTTCGCTCTCAGCTGCTATGTCGTATTGTTGAAGTATATACCTGATAATAGTTCAGTAATTTCAGATTATTCAACTCACACATTGTTTCTGCTAATAGAGAGCTTCGTACTCAAATTTGGTGCGTAGTACGAGAATTCAACCTTTGAGACGTTCGTTGAAGATAGAAGCTCTTAGAAAGGTGATTACTAACAAAGGTAATCTTTGCCATAAGCTTCCTAGTAATCTCATTCATGTTCCAGATTAACGATGGACACACTCAGTGGTTTATCGTCATCTTTTTTATTTGATTCAAGTATAGACCGTTCTTCCAATAGGTTTTCTCATCTCCAACCAAGCGACCTGTTTCAATGATAAGTTTCAGCAACTCGACTTCGTCGATGTCTCCATCTGGATCACCGCCATTGGCCTCACTATTATCTGGCATGGAGCCACTAAACAGACCATCATGGTTGTTTAACAATCAGGTACGTCGTTTTCTCTGCTTTTCTTGTTGTTTTTTCCTGACTATCTTTTATTCGGAAGATGACATCACCAAGCTATGTAATTCTTCTCCTCTCTATCATGAAAAAAAGTCCCAAGGGGTTGAATTAGTGTTTGTTAGTCTTAAATCGTAAGACTTGGTTTTGGATAAGACATAATTCGTTCCTTTATTTTCTCCCTTCTTATCCATATTACAATTTTGCTAATGGCTAAAGCTTATTTATGACACGCGCTTGGTCGAATTGCAAGCTATATTTCTAGTTGCCTTTTGATTCGATGTTAGCTTGATGTTAAGAGACATTGTGCACTGCTTCATATGCTGGTGACAATGTGTTTCTTTTGTTTTGACACTTAGATCTTCTACTTCCTCGCTTTCTCATCGGGTTGCAGTTCCAAAAAAGTTTGTTTTGTCTCTTCTTCACTGTGTGATCTGCTAATTCTTCAAATCATAATCTTGTTGAATGATGCAAACGAATGCGATACCTCATGTTTTTCATGACAGAAACAAGCGATCGCGGATGTGTGCTGGGAATCTTTACTGATTTTCACGTTCAATCGAAAACATCTGGTCGTGTTTATCATGAAATTTTTTTTGAGAGTGGTTTCTTTTTCACAATGTATTATTCGACGTCCTGTATGTATGCCTGTTGTGATCTGAAAATTTTCGGCAGATTTACACAGTTCTCGTGTTTTGTAGACACTTCACTCGCAGTTTTGTTTAACCCAATACAGCCCGATCCAGAATTGTTGCAAGATAACGGAGAGTACCAGATGAGCAAATAACAAAAACACATATCAATGTCATGCAACCATCGAAGAGATTTCATAATCTTCCAATGGATGGAAATCAGCTGGATTTTTAGTAAATATAAACACTGTCGATTGAAAACAAGGAGTTTCCGTTAAATGTGCTCTCTTGTGCGTTCGAGATGATTCAGGGCAGTAACGATTTGAAATTGTGTGCTCTGATGGCTACATCTGGCTTTCAAATCACTAAGAACAATAGGGATTTTGATGTTAGATGCATAGAACATTCCGATCACGAGGACAACCATTATGGACTCATTGCGCATGCAAATGTAGTTGTGACAAGAATAAAGTCATGCATTGTAATGTATATTTTCTCGTTAACGATTTCATGGAGATGTTTCGGAGTTAAGTGTGGCCTTTGTTCCTGGTGTAGGCATGCCACCTGATTTACAGGGGAGCATCCAGCTTTATGCCCATATTAAAAGAAGAGTAGATCGCTTGCAAAGGCTTCTCTCTTCTTAAAATCATGCATTTTCTTGGTTCTTGTGTATGTGTCTGTTGTCGCACTAGCTTATAAGGCTGTCTTCTGTTTTGACGACAATGAATAGCATAGTAGTGTCATAGGAAACTGGTGGCTTCGTGGATTTTACTGCTTTGTTGCATTAAAAAGAACTTAATTGGATGAATGCATGAGTCCACTTTTAGTGGTTTTCGCTACTTGCTTTTAGACTCAGTCCAGATATGTTTCATGTTGATCCTTGTGTGAACCGATGTCCTTTTTGTTTAGCCCAATCCATGATCATCGTTGTACTTGAGAAGCTCCTCCTGTCTGATGAATTGCATGAAGAGAAAATGACATGTGCGCTAAGCTTCTATTGTAATATATCGCGTTGAGTGTAATCTCACCAAGAGTCGATCATCAGCTGTGTCATGGCTCCTGAATATATAGAGCGAAATTTTGATCTAATTTAAAACTTCAAAACTTATTGTTTGCTTATGAGTTCTCCTTCTCCTATGCCATCTCTTCTTCTTTCGATTTTTGGTTCTTTTAAAAAGATTTTCAATAGACGTTTTCTCTTCGCCATTTTTCTGTGTGCTTGTATTGACATGGAAGAGGATTCAACATTATGCCTCTCGGCACAGGAACCTGGAAATTTTATTTGCATGAAAACGTTTCTATGTTTGTTGATTTTGGCGCGTTGATGTTTTCCGCCATCCGTCTTTATTTGCTTATGCCGGTGCACAGTACCGTCAACGTTGAATTATCAACATGTCACTGAAGACGTGAACCGTGCTGTGACGCAATCCTCCGAGCGACGGTTTTCAACAAAAACGAAAAAAGCAATCTTTGTGTGTGGCAAGGGATAGGAACCTGGCGCTTACACTCCCACAACTTCTACAACTCCTGACAGTTTTCACTCAGATTTACATGAATGTTTCATATCTCATGGATTGTTGCTGCGATCAGCTGCACTTTGCAATAGCAAGTCTTTCTGTCTCTCTTCACGTTTTCTGAAATGTTGTGTGTAATGTTAGCGTGACGATTGAAGTCGACGATTGCAGATACCATCATTTTGAATAGGCATGTCCTAAACGGTAGCCGGTTTTTCTTTCAAACTTTCATCAGTAATGATACTTTTGAATATTTTTTCTCGATTTCAAAAGATCTCTAACAAGGTCATTGCAATGCTCATAGATGAGAACTGAAGAGCTTCAAGAGTCTCTAATACTTTACTTTGCAAACTACCAATTGCCTTGTCATACACACTGTTACCTGAGAGTGCTAGGCATTGGTTGCTCCCCTATTTGGGATTTGCTCTATTCTATTGACCAATTTATATTTGTTTCTTGTCGAGAGTGCGGGGGAGCGCCGATTGGCTCTTAAATATACCTCTCCACAGCCACGGCTTGTTCTTCGATATCTTCTTCTTTAATCACTTATGCCTTCTGCTCAGTACCATATTGCCAATCCGAGCAGTGCACTGATGTTTTGCTATTGTCATTCTTTTTTTTCAAATATCTTTTTTCCTTTGTTGTTGTTACATTGGCACAATATGTTATCGTTCATGCCAATGTCATTTTGTTACCATCTGATCGTGATAATCCTCATCAGAATGCGGAAAGAGGTCGACTAGGGTTATAAAAAACATTTTCTTTTTAAATACTCCCGCTATATAGAGGTATGATTTGTAAGCATTTCTCTTTTTTTTCTGGTCGATGTGCCCGTTCTATGTTTTCACAGTTCGTTCTCTTTGCATTATTTTTCAAAGATTGACTTGCCTTTCTTTGCAACGGAAGAAGCAAGCTAGCTCCGCAGAGGCGCTAGAAGATGGTGGAGTTAGACAAGCTATCCGGTCATCGAAATGGCCGGTATTTCGGTTGTCCGGTCGTCCGGTCTCCGATGCCTTGAGTGAAATAGAAGGAAACACCATGTCTGTTTCTCTTTCGAACTTCTGATCTTTTCACATTTTTCTTTTTTCATCTCCTGTTCGGGTTTAGAATGTTCTTCATTGATTGCTATTCGAGGGCTGCTGTACTTTCGATCCTCATCTTGTTTGAAAGATGTCCTTGAAACTTTCTCTCATCTGGTTATATCTGCTTTTCAAGGCAGAAATGATTATATTATTAGCACGATTAGTTTCTTAACAACAACTTATATTATTTTTTTGTCTAGTTACTGTTTTTGTTGTCTTAACCTTCTCATGTACTTGTGTGTTTTTTGTTTTCACAGCTGTAACAAAACAGATTCGGATTTTTTGTGTGCAGCCGATTTGTGACACAACTTTTTCCGTGAATTGTTCACTGTGAAATCAGCTGTTTCATAAATGCAATAGACGCCGAGCAAATATCTATGCCTTTCTTCCACAAAAGTACAGACGTTGATGCCCAGACAGCGTCATAGTTGAAGCTCTCTTTCTTTCGCTCAAACGCTATAAACTCTTACTTTTTGCCCTGCTATATCCTTTGTGAAACGTGAGCATTATTTCTTTAAGTTAAGCTCTCGGTGAGAAGATGATCACGAGTGCCAGCTGTCCGACCAACCAGCTGATACACCTCATTCTATACAACGTGATGATAGTCCTACTATCTTTCTTCTTCCACTTCTCTGTATCTCTTGCTTCTCTGCTTCTTCCTTCTATCATCAATAAATTCTTAGTTTAGTTTCTACTCTATCTGCTTATATAAATGAGTAGAACTGATCCTCCAAGTGTAATATCAGCATGGCGCGTGTGCATTTTCTCTAAGCGCGGGAGAGAAGCGGGTGATTGTTTGAGAACCAGTTTTTCGCCATTGGGAAGTGCGGTTTGAGTGCTGTTGCCTATCTTCACTTGCTTTCTCTGATCACGTAATATCTAGATTTCTATAAAAATTATGTGTCGTTTCGTCAGGAAACACTTCTTATACTGGTGGACTTTCGATTTTTACGGTTTTTCTTTTTAAATGTTCAAATCCGTTCGGACGGGAATGAATGTTGTATTCAATTTCCGTGGTGGCATTCGTGAGTTCGTGCTTATCTGCTCAAACATCCCACGAGGTCGCGTACTACCAGTTCCAATTGATTAAGCACTTTTTGAGTTCGCTCAGCCTAATGTTTCTGTACTGAAATGGCATTGGAAAGAGAGAGAGTGATTGGTGTTGACCACCAAACACTGAAAAGAGTAGATGAAACAGCACGAATAAGTGTTCTGTGACATTTGCCATAAATCTACTCAGCACGTGTTCATGATCTTCTAGACAAAAGGAAATTTACAATGAGTAACGAGGAAATTCGTTGTCTTTGTCTTAAAGCGGAATATGTTGACTGTCTTTGTATAAAAATTGCATAAAGTGTTGCTATTTGCCTGATAATAAAGCGGTCGATGTCTGTTTAACAAGCCAGCAAGTCGTTTTGTGAGAGTCACATGTTTTCTTTCGTACCCATTGTTGGCAAAAATTGGATTACGACCAACAATCACTTGGTCTTTTTATCCTTCATATGGCGTTATAGCGTGTTCGCCAAAATATTTTCTTTTGTTTTTGCATCACTTTCTTTTATCATTTTAGTCTTCCGGAATAGCCTTAATCAAAAGATCATGAAATGAATGTTTTCACTCCCATCATCCATATAACCTTATCAATACCATGCTTCTCTCGTCTGTAGTACGTTCCTCACTCAGCTGTTTTTTGAATGTGATGTCAATTGATCTTCATTGATTATCTATAATTATTTGTTCGTTTCTTGGATGCATCTAAAAGAGCTTTGGTCTTTTCCTGCTGACTACAAGTAGGACTCCGTCATTGCTATTACACTTTGAACTACCAGGTGTTTCCGAAGAGCCCGTTTCATCTTATATCTGTTTTTACTGATTATCTTCTATACTTGTTCTTCCAATCCTTTAATTCTTGTTTGTTAGCAAACCTTTCCGGGCTTGTTTGCGAATCCAATGATATTCTATCATTCCATCTCTTCCTACATCGTATAAATTTTAAAAATTGGGCATATATTATTTGGAAGGTTTTTATTTGAAGAAAGCCATATGAGGATTTATATTTACATTTCGTTCTTGTTCAATCAGGGTTGCAGCTTGTTTTTTTATGATTTTCGGAACGCTTTATGTTGAGTCGAATATTTTGTTGGCTCCATGATTTCATTAATCTACTTGTTATTTGATATGCTTGTAGTTATTTTCATCCTAAGCAGCAGCATTCTCTTTCTAGAGAGATTATTCTTGCCACAGAAACTTCATTGATCTTCAAATTGTTTTTCTTTTGGCTTGCCCTGTTTGTATATTATCGGTGTCATATTCCTTCATTCCTTCATAATTGGCTTCCTCTCCTCTCTTGAATAACTGTACAAATAAAAAATAATTGTTTTCAGTCTGTATATTCCAATCAGTCAACGCCGACGGAAGCCTTGTCGTCCATTTTGGACTCTTTTTCTCCGGTATCTTCACCTTCAAACAACTCACTGAATCAAGTTTCTGGTTATCCGTACAAACAAATGACTAATAGGTTCGTCACACATTTTTATTAAACCTATTTGGTCTGGGAACAAAAGTCATGGTCAAGGCTACTTGTTATGTTTCGTTTGGCTTCATAATACTTTTTCATTTAGGGCTCCAAGCAGCCGGCGTCCTTATGGCGGTGTTGTTTCACCAGCTTCCGAAAATGGTAATCCCTTAGGTGCTCCTGGAATGCCTATCAATGGTAAGTAAATGTGAACTTTGCTAAATTTCATTTTCTCCTACACTTTGTGTTCGTTCGTACATGACTGGACGAACTAATGCGTCTTCCAACTTTCTGAAGATTCTCCCAAATATCAATTTTGTCCTTTTGTTGATCTGTTTTTGAGCAAGAATGCAGTGCTTGCTTTTATTGGCTCATGCACTTTAGCCATTCTTCCGATGGGGGTAGCCGCCTAACATAATACTTCAGTATTAGCATGTCTTTTGAGAATTTATGTCACTATATTTATGGTTTCCCATCATGATGGTTGCGTTGTTTATTCAATTAAGCTTTCCGACTATGAGATGCTTCAATATTGCCATTGCTGTTGCTTGCCGCCAGACTTATGCAATTTACGCGAATTGAGCTTCATCTCATTAATGAATTTCGTGGTTTTCTGTGCATATGACAATGAATGATGAAGTTCATTAAGCAAATTTCATATGGGCGATGTTTAAATATTGATTTTCATTTTTGTTGCATAAACTGGCAGATCTGAGGTAATGACAGCCATAATCTGTTTTTCGCTTGCCTGTTATGTTACGCACTAGTAATTCATTTGTGTGTATGAATTCACTTTGTGGTAATTATGCCACATGAATGAGACATTTTATTTTCAAATTGCCTTTTAGTGTATACAGTTTTTATTTTTCAGGCAGCAATATGTCCGTGAATGGCAATGGGAGTGCCGCCAGCACACCTGCTCCTAAAAATCCTAAACTCTATAAGACAGAGTTATGCCGTAGTTGGATGGAGCACGGACGATGCAACTATGGAGAACGGTCAGTTCCGCTGTGCAAAAACAAACTGAAATGTTTGAACTTGACATTTTAGTTGTCAGTATGCTCATGGTGAATGCGAGAAAAGACAAATACCGCGACACCCAAAGTATAAAACTGAAGCTTGTCAATCTTTCCATCAAACTGGTTACTGCCCATACGGACCTAGATGTCATTTCATTCACAAGTATAAAAAAATTAGTTTTTCTGGTTTAAATTTTATTTTTTTTAGTGAGATGGAACTTTTAAATCAACCGTCTTCTGCACAATCAAACTTGAACATGTTTACAAGTTCTAGCCCTAAAAGCGTTAGTGGTGGCAGTGGTACGGGCGGTTCTTCTATGACACCTAGTGTACAGAATAGTTAGTTTGTACTAGATATTGATGTTTTTAACTGTTTGTTTACAGTACAAAGTTCATTCCTTCATCGCATGTCTTCTCTCCCTAACTATGGTAGTGCTGGAGAATCCTCATCGGGAAGCTCCAATGACAGTGGATCAGAATCACCAAATGGCAGCTTTTCATCAGGACTCGACAATGACGATTGCGGTTCGCTTTGAAATTTTCTTCCTCATTACCTTTTGTATATTTTAAGGTTTGGGCACTTTCACAGGAGGTTTTATGACCCCACAAAGCGGTTCTCGCCGTCAAGCTCAAAGATATCAATCAGTCTATGAGCCACAAACGTGAGTATTTTTTGTGTCTCGATCATGTTTGACATATTTTTCATTGTAGTGAGCCCATTTCTGTGTTGTTAACGGAACTGATGGCCTTCAAAGTTCAGGACGACAAATGGAGTAATGAAGAAAATCCAAGTCGTTTGCCTGTTTTTGCACAACTTAGTGCGAAGTAGCCAGGTATTGAAAGTGTTATTTTCTTCCGTAATTCATCTCTTTGCAGTTCCTAGCTGAATTTCCATTCTCGCTATGGAAAGAGTTACCATACTACATTTTTAATAAGTAATTCTAAACAGTCTTTGATGCATGTCATAATCTCGGGTGTGGTTGTGAAACAACCGTTTCCGAGAAGTGATATTCTCTATAAGGAATATTGGTTTACCGTTGCCTTTTTTGTATTATGAGCTAGATCCGATCTAGATTTTCCCTTTTGTCTTTAGAGCGTTCTTATTTAACAGCCTAGCTTTTTACTCAAGTTCAATATCATCGATGTTTCTTAACATTGACGTATGTTGACAAAAAAATTTATTTTACTCGTTTGATACATCTGGGATATGTGTTGTGCCTCTTCTTTGTGCCTTCTTGGAAATCTTTTTGGTTCAAGTACTCGTACCAGAAAGTATATTCTAGTTTTGTTTTGCATTTCTAACCATTAATCCCAGGTTTAATTACCTCACTAGACTTCTAAGAAGATTTCTTCCTTTTGTAGATATAACTGTAGAATTTTATTATTACCCTCTCTTTCTTAACTGATTCGCTGCTGTATTGTACAGTATGATGAGGAAAGATGTGATCATCTATCTGATTCTAAGGAGTTCGCTGCGATTCGGTTCCATAACTTATTATTCTTTTCTTAATTTATTTTCCTTAGCTTTTTACTGAAAAGCTTCCCCCTCCCTCCCTCCATGGGCGACTGTGCTGCCGAACCTCTAAATACCCTTAATCACGCCTTAATAATTCTCAAGTTTTTTTTGTTCATTTATTTTAGTTTTATCTGCCTTGTACTCGGTTCCTCACCGGTAACATTTTAATAAGCTGCATATTATGAGCAAGTAGTAATAATTCTGCCAGATTTGTTACGTTGAAACGGGACTCTTACCCTTCTTTGGCGGGGTATTGGCTGTATTCAAAAATCTTTGGCCTGAGAGTTAACCATCTTTTCCCGGTTATTTTCATTTAGGGGTGCTCCCGCTCTTATGTGTTAAATTCATTTCCCAAAAGGTACCAGTGTTTTTCATAGCCTATCAGATTTCCTTCATTCTTTCAAATGGAGCTTCGGCTGCCTATATTTATTCCTTTTCTTTTGTTCTTTTTTTTTCAATTTTTGGATGTTTTATGTGTGCAGGATGCAAAGTGACAACATTATTCGAGTAATTCTGTTATTTCTGTCTACTTCGCATTCTGCTTAACTTAGCTACGACTGTTCAGCCGTTTTTTTTTTGAAATATTTATTTGTTATGTGTTATGAACCCGGCTGTATAGTCTCCATTTTTGATCACATTTACCATAGATAGCCTCGCTAGAATATTCTACTTAGACATGCTAGATACTTCTATACAATATCATCCATAATTGAACATATTGTATCTTGTTCAGTGTGATTATGTTGCAAATCTTATATATCAATAAACTTTTAGTTATTTTGTTTTTCTTTACATTGTGATTCGACCCCCAGCAAGGTGTGGTGGAAACAGTTTCAACAGTGCTTTTACTTCACAGTTTACAGTGTATAGTAAATGTGTATGAGTCATAAACTATGTGAGTTGAGCTCGTCGAATTATTGTTCCAATTACGATTCACTTGTGCTCTTTTCGCAGCTAGCCCATACCTGATCTCTCGTTGAAGAGACACCAGACTAGCTAATTTTGAGAAAAGAGTGCGTGGAAAAAAGATGTGCAGAGTTTGGATGGTCCGAATCATTTTGTAAGGCGTTGATTGCGTACATTATTTTCAGTCTACTCGAAAAAATACAAAGAAGCTGTTAGGATAAATTGTTTGTTTAACCATATTTCATGAATTATCTATATTCAAGCTACTCTTAGCATAGTCTTCGATCGCTTGCAGTGCTGCACGCGAAGGTCTTGCTCTCCTAATTTCATGTTCTAATTCACTGATTGTGATCAACATGAAGCTCCATTGATTACTATCGTCAGCAGCATCGTAATTCTTCCGTGTTAATGCGACATTTTATTTACTTTTCACACGTTTATGTTTCAGTGAAGTCCCTTCACTGAACTCGCGTTTTCTGCCTAGTTTCTTTCGTTACGGGCAGATATCCTTGTTCCTCTTCTCTGACGATGTGATCAGGAACAGTACAAGAAGCTACTGTTCCTAATCTCAAACGAAGGGAAGGTAAACTTATCTCAGCTTGTTCTTAAGGTGTGCAGTTACTTGATGTTCTGAACGACAACAAAATAAAATACCTCCCTACTTGTTACGGCGAAGAGGTGAATGCTATCACCCGGTGCTCTATTGACGAGATAGTTGTCCAGCAGATCGTAATGATCGAGCTTGGCATTCACATGAGAACTCCTACATAACCAACGGAAACGAAATCATGTTGCATGGTTTGTAGCTTGTGATAACCAATACCAAGTGGAGCATGTAAGTATGTTCTTTTATATTATGAACAATATTCCAGTTGAGAATTCAAGTATAATCATAACAGCAGTTTTTTTTCCTCAACGATACTTGAAAACAAACGTTCTCTCGCCCGTCTATCATGGGGCTGTATATCATCTTCTTGTACTGCGCGTCTGTGTTGGGATTCTTAATGATATTCGTCTCATTGTATCTGCTCATAGCTGTGCCGACTAAGCTGACAACTATGTCGCGGTTTGCCATACATGGACACGACGTTTTGTAAGTATTTTTCTCTCATTTGATATAAACAGTCTTCTAGGGGTGCAATCCTTCAGCTCTTCTTCACTCTTGGTTCACAACCACATCTTATTTTTCCATGCACTAGCATGTACTTTACGGGACTGCTCACTCGTTTTGGTATAATGAGCACCCTAACTCAAATGTGGGTTCAAGTTGCTGTATTAGTTTGTAAGTAGAATTGACTGAGGAACGAACTCTTTGTATTTTACAGTAAGTTCATCGTTTTCTCTTCTTATAACGATCAACCGAGCTCTCGCAGTTTCGGTGAGAATTCCTGATAGAACGAAGGAACTCGTCTTACAACTCTTCTTCGCACAACTGATAGTTCAATTAGTTCTGCTAGCTGTTGTTGCGTTCACCCTTGAGGATCACAACGAAGAAGGACGGAAGATCTGTATGAAAGTTCAATGAATTATGATTTCTTTTTGCATCAATCATTTTCAGAAGATCAAAGTGTATCCCAAAGAGATGGATACCATGAATGGAGTGAACTTGGTTATCATGGCAGATGTAGCGATGATCACAACAGTGATATACGTAGCGTTCGTCACGGTCGTTTACATGTTGGTTACGGGTGTCTCTGTGTTGATCTTAGTTCTAAGCATCCGAGATCAAGCGAAATCATCCCAGTCTGCTCAGTTCTTAGCCAACCAACGAAGACTCACAGTTGGTGTTTTATCGTTTGTGAGTTAAACCGTTTTGAACAATCAGCAACTCCAAAGATTTAGATGATGGCAGAGTTAATTGGATTGGCTATACCTTTAATCTGTCTCAACACTTGCGCTTTTTTTAATATAGGAGACTTAGGTGCGTACTCCAAGACTCTACATGCTGATCAACTACTTCTTTCCAGTTGTGTACCAATTTGCAATGGTCAGCATGTGCTTTTATCCTGCCTTTGGATCTTATTTCGTGTTGATGTCCAACACAGATTATAGGAATAGGATTCACTCCATCTTCAGGAGAGGTTAGTTCCAGCCTCCTCCTTTTGAGTAGAAGAACAGACAAGTTGATACAAGGCTGTACTCTCCTACTGTTTCAGCTCGAAAGCTGACTAGTCTCACTCGTGATCAGACAGTCAGCATAACGATCTAGTGTTTGAGAGTCTTTGAGTTTTCTGTGTCATGGACTGATCCCTGTTTGGTGGTTGATGTTTCTATGATGATGTCAAGCGTATTGGAAAGTTTTGTGCAATCAACTGTTTTTCGCCATAGCTGCTTACAAGTTTGAGTGGGTGTTTTCATGTTGTTTGATATAACTATTTCGTTCTTGTATGTATCTGATAAACGTTCGTCAATCATGTTGTTCTCCTGGATTGCTGTGGTTGGCACCAATCGTTTACATCTCAGAACTGTAATCGTTCCCCTTTGAATGATTGGTTTGTGGTTCAGATAGAAACTTGCTCTCGTTGTCCGTAGTCAATAAATTCATAAATACGTTTGTCCGATCACATGGATAGTTTTCGTATTCATGAATCAATGTTACAACTTCCAATGCCAAGCATTATTCGGAACCGTGTTGACTTTCTGTCCATTCACTGGGAGGAAGGAACCTAGAAGTAGAAGCTATAACAAGCACTTTTTCCACTTAGGGCTTGGGTTTTTATTGTGCGTTTTAGATTATCTAACTATATTATACTTTACCGAATCTTCTTTTTCAGTTTCCAGAAGAATTTTCGCTGATTCCTTGCCTTGAACCTTTTGAACCAAGTTAATAAGTAGCAGATCGGATTGAGGATTTTGTGAAAGGTAGGTTTATGTATTCAAATTTACAAGCAGACACCCTTACTCAGCCCCCCAGGGCTACCGATGCCTGAAGGCTACAGACTTTCTGACCGTTTCTCTGAACTTTGAATGATAGGATGCAACCGTTTTGAGTGGTTAGTGTTGGATTGCAACCGTTCTGTGCGGTTGAAGGTGAAATGCAACCTCTCGGTGCGTTTCG